TTTAAATAAATATTTAGAGTGCCCAGGTAGCACATAAACAATCTAATTTAACGGTTTTCTTAAAGTAGGAACGTTTAACCTGTGCGGCCAGAGCGCTCTCCTTCCTTCTGCTCTGCGTAAACCTGAGCTGATCACCTACTTGTGCGTAATCAAATGTCTATAGGGGACAAGATATAGCCATGATGTTCACTTTTGCCTCAGACCGACTTATTGCTGTTTTATGGTGTGGCTGAATCTGCGATCCGCTGCCACGCGGACTGGAACAACAAATGCTGCAGTAGCATGAGTTGTAGTCAGGTTCATGAGGAGTCACTGGCTGGAGCGGACCCGACTCATCCCAGAAGCTAATATCTTAATTTGACCTTGAATGAAAAATAACCTCTTAAAAGTTTTTATCACGGTGGAGGCAGCGTTCATTTCTGCCTTCAGTCTGACGGCGCGCCGGAGTTAAAGCAGCGTGTGCGCTTATTGAATCTGTGTGTGTGTGTGTGTGTGTGTGCGCGCGGCACAGCCGCTCAAGTCGCCGCGTCTCGTTATCGGCGCTATTTAAACCAATGTTGTAAAATGACTTCTGCCCAGCCCAGATGTGCTCGCTTGTGCACCCGTGAGCCGTGGTTCCGCTGGAACGCGTCTGACCTCTGACAGACGCACTCTGAACTTCAGATCTTCAGCGCGCTGTCAATAGCCTGAATGGGAATCATTTCTTGATTTATTTAGTTACATCCACAATGTTCTGTGTGTGAGGTTTACAACGTCAGAACACCTGCATGGGACAGGTGTTAATTACAATCTGCCAGAATGACTCGCCACCTTCAGATTCCTCCAACACCGTTAAAAATGATCAAATACGGAACATATCGGCGTGCGCAGGCCAGAGTGCTGAAGCTCGGCGCATTGTTATTATGAAGCTAGGGCACATGTGGAGGACACACACGCGCGCAAAAATATACTTATTTTCAATTACATTTATTGGGCCCACTTACTTTTTCTTAGGCCCACCCACAAATGAGTTTCTACGCTAATGGTGACATATGACAGACTTCTCTGAGCTCCACAGCCATTACACTTTTCACCTCGCGCACCCCCTAGCGGCACCCTGGGGGTGCGCGCACCACACTTTGGGAATCCCTGCTCTAGAGTACACGTTTCACATTCATGTCCATTATACATGAATGTCAGTGGAAGCAGTGCGTCAGTGCAAAGTAGAATAAAATGATACATAGTTGTTGTTTTGCCTCTGCTGTGGTGCTAGGTACCACCAGTCTGGTGGATCTGCTTAGAGACATGCTGGATGTGCTCCTCCCAGGCCCCACACTGCGGGTGAAAAATTGAAGCAAACGCGGAAATGAAATAAATTGCAGTTCCACCCTCATCCACTAGGGGCTGGTGTCAAAAGCGAGCAAATCCTCATTGACTCCCATGTTAAAAATACCAATTTCACAGCAGAAATAAACATGTTTACAGCCTGGTACCAGAACATGTTTAGGTTTAAATGATCTAGTTTACACTCATGACAACTCTGAGGGGGGTGAATGTTTTTCTCACTCTTCTGTTTAAGTGTATTAAAAGCCTAAAATTCTGTATAATTAATGAGCATCAGACCCACGTGACCACAGAGCTAGCTCCGGGGAAAGGCCTCAGTTGAGCCTCGGTCTGGCCTGGAAACTGCTCCGGGATTTTGAGTCTCTGTGTGTGTGTATTCTTTTTTGGATATTTTTGTGCAATTGTTGGACAAAATGACTTGCTGTGGCATTAATTGCACTAATAGAGCGTCCAAGGAGTCTCCACTTCATTTTTTTCGGTAAGTAAAATTATATTTATGTATTTTAGGTCACTGCCGAGCTGAGCTTAGATTTTAACATGTACTGTTTAACCATGAAATTTAAATGTAATAGGGTAAAACCCAGTGCATTTAACATAATGCTGCACTTTAGAAAATGGGTTGAAATATAACATGTTGGTGGAGCTGGGTTCCCACTATCGGCTTGTGGAGCTCTCGGGAGACCGATGTTTTCCACCCGGTTCTCCCCTCCCCGCAGCTCGGTCCATCTCTGTCTGATCGCGGCTTCTGTTAGCTGCGCGGGCTGATGGCTGGTTTTTATGGCAAGCCAGAAAAGCCAAAATACGCCACTTTTCCCCGCAGCTCAGCGCATCTCTGTCTGATCACAGCTTCTGTCTGCTGCGCTGGCTGCCGGCTTGTGGAGCTCTCGGGAGAGCTCTGTGTTCCACCCGGTTTTAACCAGCTGTCAGCCCGGCGTATCTCTGACTCAGAAGCTCTGGTGCTGTGCACAGTTAACTTGTAGCTAGGTTGCTACCTCCGTTAGCTTAGCTCCCACCTCCGTGTTAGCTTCGAGTTAGCTTGTAGCTAGTTCGACAGGGTGTCGTCAGTTAATCCCAGCCTTACAGCCCCACCCTCAGCTCCACCTCTCTTACCTTTTGTGGAATTGTCTGGGCTTGACGGAACCTGTGATACGGTCAAAATGGCGGTGGTGGCCACCTCCCATTTTTCTTCCAAAACGTGTTATTGGAGCCTATGGAAACCCCTTGTCCAATATTTATATGTCGATGGTTCCTACTAGCTGGTACCTTCTGTGTGAACCCTAATGGTCTTTTCGCAGCGGCAGCCTAAACCAAGTTAAGCTGTTAAACAAGGTAATTAATTGCCTTGTTAATGTCTAGCTGGAAAAAACATAACTGGCAGCACATAAACCCAGACATATGGCTGAGTGTCTCAGAATTCTCACTCTTCAGTAGCTTCAAATGGCATGTTTCTGCACTCGCATCTGTTTCACTGACAGGCAGAAAGCAGAGAAGAAAGAGAGATGGAGAAAAGTGTGAAGGATGCTTTGGGAGGAGGAGCAGAAGAGAAGATGCCCAGCGGCTGGCTGTCAGCATCATGGGATTTCAGCAAAGCACGGCACGGCCCTCCAGCTGCAGCTCAGAAACGAGCAGCTGTGTTTGCTCGCATGCAGGGCTGTGGGTCTTTTTGGACTTGAACTTTTCAACGTGAGATCATATCTTACTGATGTATAGCTGTATCCTACGTGTGTGTGTGTGTGTGTGTGTGGGGGGGGGGGGGGGGTTGAGTCGTGGATCACAAATGAGGCCACTGACAGGCAGCTTGTCTTTGTGGCCGAGTTTGGCCCAGTTTTATTTCATCTCCTCCTTCAAAACTTCAAGTCCTCCATTCACTTTGATGGACAGCGTGTCCCACTTCCTCGCAATAATTGGCTTCTGTATAATTAAACGTCAAGCAACTGTTACCCCTCACTTGATCCAAAAATGTTTTATTTGCATTTTATGGAGCAGGAAATCAGAGACAGAGAAGGTCTCATCTGCAGTGTTTGCTCTTTTCCTTTGACTGAAACAGAGCAGTTAATTTCATTGCTGCAGAATCTTGTTGCAAACTTTGAGCGTATCCAAGTTCAACATAAAAGCATCAAATCTAACCCCCAAAGATGATGTAAAGTAGACATTTTCACAGCTATCTAAAGAATATTTTAAATGATTGTGTGTAAAACATTATTTAAATGAATTCTAACAAGAAAAAGAAGAGTTGAGGCTTTTTTCTGGCCCCTTGGGAGAAGGAAAACAAGACTGTCTGCATTCACTGTAAAAAATAAGTTTCAGCATCTGCTCTTTAGCAATTAAAACACTTGCATTGCAATTATAAGGCACACAGCATGTGATTAACGACAGCTTAAAAAAGCTCCTGCAGTTTTGAATAGAATTTAGAATTCTAAAAAAGTAAGCATCTTTTGGATGACCTGTTTGCATTTACCTTTTCATCTTTTTCTTCATTGAATAAGTAATTTTTAGGTCTTTTATTCTACCCACCATCTTAACCTCTTCATCCTCAGTAGGGTAACAAGGGAGCTGGGGCTGAACTCCAGCAGTCATTGGGCAGGATGTGAGAGACACACCTGGACAGGTAGGGACAGATTCAAGTCTCCAGCTGTGTGCGTGTGTGTGTGTGTGCGTGTGTGCGTGCGTGCGTGCGTGCGTGCGTGTGTGTGTGTGTGTGCGTGTGTGTGTGCACGCGTGTGTGCATGTGTGTGCGTGTGCATACAGCCAACCAAATATCTACAGATATTTGGGAATTATCTCATTGATTTTACATTTTTACACAAAAAGGAGCAAAAACGTGGCTTTGGGGTGCAAAACATTTAGTTGAAGTAGGCGGACCCTAGCAGAAGCAAAATCATTTCTGTTCTGCATGTTGGTCTAGCTATGATCCATGAACAGGCTTACGTTGGCATGAGCAGCATTGTGCTCTGTTTGGTGATGCAATCACAGCGCTGTATCAGCTTGGTGGTCCAATCACAGCGCTGTATCAGCTTGGTGGACCAATCACAGTGCTTCATCGGTTTGATAAGCAGGATGAGCAAAACAACAAAGATGGCGGCAGCTCTTTTGAAATAGTTTTGGCATTAACTTTGGACTATTAAGACTTGAGCGGTCCTTTGAATCGAGAGCAGATAGAGGTACTTAAGTCCTTTATTTAGTAAAAAGAATGAGTTTGAGTCTTCTTCAACAGAGTATGGCAGACTGCCCTGTTGACTGAAATCCATAGCAGTGAGTGCATCACGTTGTTCGTTGTCCAATAGCATGTGGAGACAGGTTATAGTCAAACGTAGTGTAGCATCATGGAAGGTCCTCCATTTGTGGCAAAGGTCACATTTACCCAGCTGGGTCAAGCTGTAACTTTCAAGTCCACAGATTAACCCAGGAGCCTCTGTGGCCTCGACAGCTCAGATCCTGCAGGGATCGGGCGACCCTCCCGATCCAGGCGGAGCTGATGCTGGCAGAGACGCTCCACCGATGACTCCACACCCTGTCACAGGGAGAGTTGATGGTGGCTCAGAGACTCCAGCTGAAACCCCGTACTCTGAGGTGGGATCTCGACCCACCGAAGGGGGGGTGGGGGGTGACGCTCTCACTGACCTTACTCTACTACAGCAGGTGCTGATGACCTCTAAACTTCAGGTGGGTGGAAAACCTACCGAAAGGGGGGTCAGATGTCGCCCTGTAAATCTGCTGGTGGACCCTGATCTCTCTGGATGCATCTGCGTGTCAGCCGGCGACCTTTCCGGAAGCACATCTGCTCCGGATCCTCGTAAGCCTGCACCTGTCTTTAACCTAAAACATTCTTGGTTTCAAACCACAGGACAGATGATGTTGCTCTTGCTAGTCACATGTCTCTGTCTGTTTTCTCAGCAGCACTCTCTAACTCGACCGTGTGGATCTGGGTTCCCTTTGGGTGCAACATCCAGGGGACCACCCATCACTCGTGGTTCCAGCCAGTTCAGTCTGGTGGCGCTGTGACTTCTTCTAGTGAGCGGGCTCTCCAGAGCCTCAATATTCCGGTGTATCCTTTCGTTCCTGTTCAACAAACATAGAAGATACCAGCAGGGGGCAGTAGGACTCCTCATTATCTGAGGGCTTCTCCTCCTGACCTACAGTTTGCTCCAAATCCTGGTCACACAACAGTCACCTCTGGTAAACTGATTAATAACCTTTTGCAGGAAAAATCAGGTCCTGACCTACCAACTAAACCACACTCTCCGGTCGTGTCTCTCATTAACATCTCCAAAGGTAACAAAGCACCCATTTACAGTATCTATGGGTCCACAAAACCACATTTAAACCGCACAAAAATCCTGTTGATTTAGATATCGCGTCAACCAACATAGCTGACCACCAACTCGAATCGTGCCAGAAGGGGGGTGAACTTCCATCCGCTCCCGCTGGGTTCTCTGATTTCGGATCACTGGAGTCCTGTTGTGAGTATGTGTGTGCATGGATGACTTCATGTCTAAACATATCATAAAGGCTGTGGTCTGCTGTGGTTGCACTAATCATGGGTTTTCAGAACATAACAGTTAAAAGTGGACGTCTCCACTACCTGATGGGTCGATCCAAATTCTACCAATTCTTTATTGGATCATTTTTAATAGTCTTGATAACTTTTAAGGTTTAATCAGGATAACTGCCTTCAGCCAGTTTATCTTGTTACTAACCCTCACATTTAGGGACTGCTAACTCCACTGATTTATATTTTTAGTGTTGACACTTACATTTCTATCTTTTTATAGTGCTTTCGTTAGGGTACTTAAGTTTGAGAACTTTAGGGATGAACTTGGTTAATTTCTCTTAAAGAGCTACAAGCCATTTTGCCCTTCATTCTTATATAAGGCCTTTAATTAGTGCAGGTGATTTCTCCCATACCAGTTAGGGTTTATTTCTTTTATTTGATTCTTTCATGCTTTATGCACCACATCTTTTTGCATCACACGTAGGCAGTGCACCCACTTCTTCATTTAAAGGTTAAATCCATATAATGCTCACACATAGTACCGAGGTACTCACAGTGACAGGTTTATCATTAATTTCTTTGATTCGCATCAAACGCAATCTTCGTGTGTCTGCCTCACTTGCTGCTCTGCTCTTCTCACTCATGAGCTTCACCATTGGTCTTCGCTGCCTGAGGGACCTCCATCCATGGGGGACTTCGCCATCTGAGGGTCCTCTACGCCTGTTCCTGCCTGCCTGGTGTTCCTGTCGCATGGAGCTTTGCTTCGGTCGTGGTTCGAGACGTCCTGAGTGCCCTGCGCTGAGAGGTCGCCTGGGGGCCATCCGGGAACTGCCGCTGACGGCTGGTCGTCTGTCTACATCCTCGTGCTCGGCTCTGTGTGGCCTTTAGGCATTACTACTTATGATAATCAACTGCTGTTGAAATAGCCATCTTCTCGAGGATTACTTTACAATGATCTGCAATTCTGACTTAACCAACTTCTCAGGATATGCTCCTGTCTTCCCTGGGGGAGGAAACGCTTACCTCTCTCCAGCCTTCACCTGGACTGCAACAGCTTCTTCAGAAAGAGAGTCCCTTCACGTCTTTGGTTGCCAACGACAGGTGGTTTTCTGTGGCCACCTGCCATTGACAAAGGGGGGTCTCTAGCATCACGGAAGGTCCTCTAATTTGTGGCAAAGGTCACATTTACCCAGCTGGGTCAAGCTGTAACTTTCAAGTCCACAGATTAACCCAGGAGTCATGATGTCTGGAAGAACATATCACCATATCTGCCGCTGTTCCGTCCCAGAAGAAGGACACTCCAAGCTCACGATAATAATTAAATAATAATAATAATAAACTATTTGATTTTATTACTGTTTATTATAACCATCATAAATGATCACTTGGTTCAGTATAAAGGTATTTTAATGACATGAAATGAATTATTATGCTTTGGGTACAATAATGATTAATTATGATTATGCTTGATGACAGTAATGTGTTCAACAAAGAAGGTCCCTTTCACCTTATCCATCTAACACAGAGTTCATCCAGATAAACAATAACTGCAACACATGTTTTTGATGCATGATCAAAGCTTTCTTGCTGAGAGAGTGGGAGTGTTCTGAGAGCTTCGTAAACTAACCATCACCAGCTTCAAGTCAGTTTGTGAACCCACCACCATCACTGAGGAAGGGAACGGCCGTCCCTAACCTCCACCTGCTGTTCTGTCACGCCGACAAGAATAGCTAAGAATAAACAAAACGGTAACCAGCTAACGAAAAAGTCCTTACAGAGTTATTGATTTCTGAGTTAAGACGAGAAACTCCTTCAGAGTTACGGACTTTGAGACGCCAATCAGTCGTGTGACCGACGGAGACAACCCAGGACTGATTTGGTCGCATCGAGGTCCTTCTGCCATCCTCGTGCCCGGAGGAAATCATCTCCACTTGACATCTCGGATCCGAAAGGGGGTCTCCGGAAACTGGGAGAGGTAGACACTATGACAGATGACGTTTGATGCTGTTTCCTCTAAGTAAACAACTCAGGTAGCGCAAAACATCATTTTCAGCTCCGAACGCTTTCCTCTCTCTGAAAGAAATCTTCTTGAAAATTCCATTCACGCATCCAAACTCCTATTTCCAATTTAGCTTTCATCCAGCCACAGGTTTGCCTTTTAAACAAGTTTAATATCAAAGCTGTTAAAAATTTTCATTAAATTGTCATCCATGAATTGTCGTTCAAATCGTAACGTTTAAAATTGTTAGTAATAAAATGTCTTCATTTTTAAACTTGCCTCATTATTGAACGAAACACAGAAAGGTCTAATTGTTTCTAGTTATTGAAAAGCAAAGATTCCTAGCTTCTGATTCAAAAATAAACTTTTGCTATAAAATTTAATTATCTTAAATTAACATTAATCTTCGAATTAAAAATAGACCAAGTTGGTGTATGAGCTTCTATTGATTATATAAGTATCTTGGATATTTATACATGATATAAGCTCATATGCTAATATGCTCGGTCATTCTCAGAATCTCCAACTGAATAGCAACAGTGCTGATTCTAGTATTTAGTTAATCTCTACAGTAGATATCGCCCCAACACTCTCCATGGGTCATGGCCAGACTATATATTCACATAAATAGGATGGTGTGTCAGGATACCAAAGTTTTGGTTTGTATGGAAATGCAGTTTTCTCAGCACGGTGAGAGGGAGAGAAAGAATGAGATTTCCAAAAGTGATGTTTACATGAGTACATATGGCTGAAACTATAAATGTAAAATGTGTGTATTTACAAAACACCTCTCTCTCTCTCTCTCTCTCTCTCTCTCTCTCTCTCTCTCTCTCTCTCTCTCTCTCTCTCTCTCTCTCTCTCTCTCTCTCTCTCTCTCTCTCTCTCTCTCTCTCTCTCTCTCTCTCTCTCTCTCTCTCTCTCTCTCTCTCTCTCTCTCTCTCTCTCTCTCTCTCTCTCTCTCTCTCTCTCTCTCTCTCTCTCTCTCTCTCTCTCTCTCTCTCTCTCTCTCTCTCTCTCTCCAGTTTTGGTTCTTTTTTAAACACAGATAAGGTTTTTCTTTACCTTGCTGACGTTTCATTTGCGGCTGCAAACTTCCTCAGAGATGATGCACCCCCATGCGCGATCCAATGAGTAAACTACATCGTCTCTGTTCATGGTCCCACATCCACGTCTCCTTATCTCTATAGCTTCCTTTATCCATCTTTTGTATTTCTGTTGTTCCGTGTTTATGATCCTTGTGTTGTCCCAGTCCGTTATATGGTTTTCTGCATCATTGGAGACGGGAGAGCGGGCAGCAGAGGGTGACAACGTCCTCTGCTGCCCGCGGATAAACGGAGTAGGAAGTGACGCCACCATCAGCGTCAGCTCTGAGGATGTGCGCAGCCGCAAAAGAAGCATCAGCAAGGTAAAGAAAAACCTTATCTGTGTTTTAAAAAAAGAACCAAAAATGGAATCTGAAGACACACACACACACACACACACACACACACACACACACACACAAACACACACACACACACACACACACCTGATGTAAAGAAGGAGACATGAAAGACAAAGATATTCGATGGAGCCCTATTCACCAAAGTTCTGCACCATGTGCCATTCTCCTCTATGTTGCATGTTTCTCTTTTCAGGCCAACTTCAAACTAAAGGGCCAGATGACGATCTGACGTTAATCAGCATGTTTGGCAGATTTAGTTTGGCTTAACCATGAGTTTTGTGACAGTGACAAACAATGGATTTAATTCACTGCTTGGAGCTTTTTCTTTTTGTTTTGTCTGTTCTAGTCTTGTTAGATCTCAGTGCTGCCTTTGACACAGTTGATCACAATGTTCTTTTAGAAAGACTTGAACATGTTGTAGGGATCAAAGGAACAGCGTTAGGCTGGTTTAAATCCTACCTGTCAGACAGATTTCATTTTGTAAATGTACATGACAAATCATCTTCATACTCCAGGGTTACTTGTGGAGTACCACAGGGTTCAGTGCTTGGACCAATTCTTTTTACTACATATATGCTCCCAACTGGTAAAATCATTAGACAGCATGGGATAAACTTCCACTGTTATGCTGACGATACTCAGCTATATTTATCCATTAACCCTGATGAACCTAATCGGTTGGGTAGATTACAGGCTTGTCTTGAGGACATAAAAAATAGGATGACTCTAAACTTTTTGCTTTTCAATCAAGACAAGACGGAAGTTCTCATCTTTGGACCAGAAATCCAGAAAAGGAAATTGCTTAGCCAATCGCCTGACCGTAATGGCATTACATTAATCTCAGAGAACAAAGTAAGGAACCTTGGTGTTATCTTTGACCAGGACATGTCATTCAAATCCCATGTTTCACAAGTTTGTAGGATTTCATTTTTCCACCTTCGGAATATTGCTAAGATTAGAAGCATCCTTTCCAGGAGTGATGCTGAAAAACTAGTTCATGCATTTATTACATCAAGACTGGATTACTGTAATCCATTACTCTCAGGAAGTCCACAGAATGTAGTTAAAAGTCTTCAGCTTGTCCAAAATGCTGCAGCTAGAGTTCTGATGAGAATTAAAAAGAGAGATCATATCTCTCCTGTCTTAGCTTCCCTACACTGGCTACCTGTTAAATTCAGAATAGATTTTAAGCTCCTTCTTCTCACATATAAAGCTCTTAATAATCAAGCTCCATCATACATCAGTGATCTGATTGTTCCATACGTTCCTAACCGAGCACTTCGCTCTCAGACTGCAGGTCTACTGGTGGTTCCAAGAATATCTAAAATTAGGATGGGAGGCAGACCTTTTAGTTATCAGGCTCCTCTCCTGTGGAACCAGCTCCCAGCTTTAGTCCGTGAGGCAGACACTTTGTCTACTTTTAAGAATAGGCTTAAAACATTTTTATTTGATAGGGCTTATAGTTAAAATCTGATGTTAGCCTAAATCTGGACAAGTGGGGGAGTAGAGGGAGGTGGAGTGTACAGTCGGTAAAGACGGCTCTCCCTTGCCCTGCCTCCAACATGCCTCCATCTAAATAGGATAGATTATCCAGAGTTATCTCTGTAGTTATGCTGCTATAGGCTTAGACTGCTGGAGGATACACTGGCCACTTTTCACACTCTACTTTCTTCTACAATCTGCTCTTTAACTGTATTATTTCCTGCTATTTCAGCTGTTAACTTTATTTTCTCTCTAAGTGTTTTTCTCCCCAGAAGAAGCTACAACGATGTTCTGTTGAGCTGTGGTGGCCTCATGGAGGGGGTCATCGACTAGCACACTGCTGCTAACCACTTAAACATTCTCTCTCTCTCCTGATAATAAGGTTTTGCTTTCCTTGACGTTGGATGTGCTACTACTAGTTTACCCGTTTAATTATAGATCCACTAGGATAAATACAATAAAGTTTATCTCTCACCAAATAGAATATTTACAGACTTCACAATATAACTATAGACACATTACTTGTCTTTGTGTGTGTGTGTGTGTGTGTGTGTGTGTGTGTGTGTGTGTGTGTGTGTGTGTGTGTGTGTGTGTGTGTGTGTGTGTGTGTGTGTGTGTGTGTGTGTGTGTGTGTGTGTGTGTGTGTGTGTGTGTGTGTGTGTGTGTGTGTGTGTGTGTGTGTGTGTGCTCTGTCTTCTCGATCCCCAGTGAGTCGTGGAGGATGGCTGCTTATACTGAGCCAGGATTCTCTGGAGGTTTCTTCCTGTTAAAAGGGAGTTTTCCTCTCCACTGTCGCTGCATGCTTGCTTAGTATGAGGATTGCTGTAAAGTCACTGACACTAGTCAGTGACTTGATGCAATTTGCTGGGTTCCTTATGTAGGAAACATTATTTCTGATTGGCTTAATGAACTGACCTGAACTGGAATGTTTATTATGTGAAGCGCCTTGAGACGACTCTTGTCGTGATTTGGCGCTATATAAATAAACTTGAATTGAAGTTTTACAAAATGACTTAATTTTCCCCATGAGGACGGTAAACAAATGTTTCATTTTATCAGAAAATGTGTTTTTCTTTTAAAAATCCCTGTTAAAGAGAACTTCTAAGGTTATTCTACTGAACAAAACAATTATTTTGACACACTGGTGCCAAAAAAACCCAAGTGGATCAACATTTCTACACATAAAGAATGATTTGAACAAATGCTTTTATTAAAAAAAAACTATCATGACTGAGGACATCCATCCATCAAAGCAAACACACAAAGTTGTCTTACAGTATTTTTTGCACAGAAATATTGTTTTAAAATAAAAACAAGTTAACAACATTGCTATTTCCTTTCCAAGGAAAAAGCCAGCTTCTCAAATGTAACCTGTTTTTTCATTGGTTTCATTATTCAGCCCTTCTTAAAACTGATCACTCCCATTAAAAGCTTCCATTCACAGTGGATTGTGTCTAAGAAGCTTTTTGTTTTTAAGTTAAGCTTTCTTTAAGGTTTTAATCATTCTGCGTTATATGCATCAATCCGTGTATCATTCGTTCTTTCTATTTTCGATTGAAAACAATCGAAAAATGATTTGTTTTTTTGTTTTTTTGTTTTACAAACGGATTATTTCTACTGAATATTCAGGATTGGGTCACTGAAATCCCTAAATGAAGCCCAGACATCCATTTCCCCAGCAAAACCTCTCCAGATGCTCACAGGTGATTCCAAGGCATTCCCAGACCAGAGGGGATGCATCATTTCTCCAGAAAGATTTGGTCCCACCCAGAAGTCTCATCTGGCTTTCTACCAGATGCATAAAGGCACAAGATGTCTGAAAGGCAGAACATGCAGCTAATAGGGCCCCTAGTTGCTCATATCAGATGCATCCTGAAAGCGTATTGTCACGGCGTCTGCCAAATTTCCACCTCAAGTTTATGTTTTTCACTCTTCGCCTCCAGAACGCGTCAATCTCAGCAGTTCAGATCGAGCTCAGCAGAAAATCAAAAATGAGAACAATAAAGCAAACTTGTAAATAAAGGACACCTGCAGATGTCTTATTGCTTCACTATAAAATGAAATCAGACCAGCAGTAAGATGACTTCCTTGGCAGAAAGAACAGAACATTAACCACAGACCTCTAAAATACATGCTGTCAACTTTCCTCTTGTCCACGTGAAATGGTGAAATCACACCTGATTCTTGTGATTTTCTGATCTCAAACCAACACATTCTCACTCCCAGAGCATCAAAGCAAACGCTTGGTCAGCCACCTGCTGCGTCAGACGCCTGACGCCAAAAGTGCCCTTTTTCGTCACTTATGTGTGAAAATTGGGGTTTTCCCTTTT